GGCCAGGCTTGGGGCTACCGCCACGTGGCCTGCTAAGTGCAGGTTGCATCAGCTTCCTCCCCCCCGCCCCACTCTGCCGCGACCCACCCTGGCCGCCCGGCCGGATGCACAGCGGACACTCAGGAAGTACCTGCCCGGAGTCTATGACATGCTTCGTTGTCCTTTCTTCCCCCACGTTTTGACAATCTGAGAGCAGGAAGGGCCGCAGTCGATGGCACCCACAATCGCTGCGACTCAGCTGTCACGGCCTGGAAGTGGCCCTGGGAGCGTCCCCCTGGGAGGGGGAGGAGGCCGGGGACGGAAGAAGCCGGCGTTCTGGGGCCAGCTGGGTCGACTGATTTCCCTGGTGGTTTCCACTGATAACATGAGCGCCAGAGTGACGGAGGAGAAAAACCTATGCTTTTTTTTTTCTTAAGGGTTTTTATTTATTTATTTGAGAGGTAGAGCTACAGACAGAGAGAGGGAGAGACAGAGAGAGAGAGAGAGATCTTCCATCTCCTGGTTCACTCCCCAAATGGCTGCAACGGCCAGAGCCAGGCCCATCCAAAGCCAGGAGCTTGTTCCGGGTCTCCCACGCGGGTGCAGGGGCCCAAGCACTTGGACTACCTTCTGCAGCTTTTCCCGGGCCACAGCAGGGAGCAGGATCGGAAGTGGCGCAGCCGGGACTCGAACCTGAGCCCATATGGGATGCTGGCACTGCAAGTGGAGGTTTAAGCCCACTACGCCACCTCTCTAGCTCCCAAAACCTGTGCTTTTTAATACGTTTACAAAGAGCTCTTCCAGCAATTAGAAAATAAACTCCAGGTGTGGGTGTTTGCTGACGCAGCTCCGGCGCTGCCTGGGACGCCCGCACCGCCCCCATCCGAGTCCCTGGGCTTCAGGCTGGCTCCACGTCTGATTCCGGCTTCCGGCTCCCTGCTCATGTGCACCCTGGGAGGCAGCAGGCGACGCTCTAGCCCCTGGCTGGAGTTCCCAGGTCCTGGACTCAGCCTGGCCCAGCCCTGGCTGTCGCAGGCATTTGGGAAGTGAACCAGCAGATGGAAGCACGCACTCTCTCTGTCTTTGTCTCTCTCTCTGCCTTTTAAATAAGACGGAGCTGGGACCGGCACTGTGGCACAGGAGGTTAACGCCCTGGTCTGCAATGTCAGCTTCCCATATGGGCACCGGTTCGAGCCCTGGCTGCTCCACTTCCAATCCAGCTCTCTGCTGTGGCTGGGAAAGCAGTGGAGGATGGCCCAAGTGCTTGGGCCCTGCACCCGCATGGGAGACCAGGAGAAGCACCTGGCTCCTGGCTTTGGATTGGCGCAGCTCCAGCCATTGCAGCCATCTGGGGAGTGAACCAGCGGATGACAGACCTCTCTCTCTCTCTCTCTCTCTCTCTCTCTCTCTCTCTCTCTGCCTCTCATCTCTCTGTGTAACTCTGCCTATCAGATAAATAAATGAATCTTTAAAAAATAATAAAAAAAGAGAGGGAGCTGCCAGAGTCTGGGTGTCCCCGGGGCCGGGCTTCGGGCGTCCTGGGCTCTGGACCTCCTGCTGCCCGCCTGCGCCTGCGCGAGTCTCAGCTTCCCTCTTTCTGGCTCTGGACCTGCTGGTCCCATGGGCTGCACCCCGGGCTCTCTGCCTCCTGCCTGCCTTTCCCTTCTCTACCCTACCCCGCCCTCCTCAGGGCCTCTCCCTGCCTCCCTCTCCTTCAGGGCTCTCCATTTCCATTTCCCTCTTTGTCATCAACACTTTTTTTTTTTCTTTTTAGTGTTATTATTTTTTAATTTGAGAGAACTTCCAGCACCTGCTTCACTCTCCAAATGTCTCCCAGGTGTGTGCAGGAGCCCAGTTCTCCGAGCCACCGGTGCTGGGGATGGCAGGAAGGTCACGTTCCCCGGAGGGAAGAGGTCAGAGCACAGGGCATCTGGACAGCGCTTCAGGCTCGGGGCTGTCACCGTGGGCCTCGAGCCCTGGCCAGGGCCAAACAAGGGAGTGTGAGGGTGGCTTCGAAGCCAGTCTCTCCTTCCGTGTCCTCTCGCCCCCGCCAGCGGGGGCCAGCCCACACGCGACCCTCCAAGCAAGTGCAATGTCGTGGGAGGTGGGTCAGGAGGGGACAGGGCAGGGAACTGAGGGTCCCCCGGCGGGGGTGGAGTGGCGAGCAGGGCAGGCCCTCGGGTGCCAGGCTGTGGAAGCCTGGGCTTGGTCCTGGGGTGAAGGTCATGGAGGGTTTTGCACTCAG